AAGGAAGGAAGGAAGGAAGGAAGGAAGGAAGGAAGGAAGGAAGGAAGGAAGGGAGGGAGGGAGGGAGGGAGGGAGGGAGGAAGAACAGAGAGAGGGAGAGAAGAGGAAGGAGGGAGGAAACGAGGGAGGGAGAGAAAGAAACTGAGAGCCCGTGCGATGGCTCAGCAGATAGAAACTCTTGCTGCTAAGTCTGATGACCAGATTTGATCCCTGGGACCCACACTGAGGGAGAGAACAGACTTCTGTAAGTTGTCCTCTGGCTTCCGCATGTGCACCCCACTCCACCCACACACAATAAATAGATGAAAAATGCAGAAGAAATTAAACCAGGGCTAGAGAGATTCCTCAGTGCTCCATGTACAAGGCCCTAGATTAATTCCCTAGCACCACAAACAAACAAAAAATAAGAAAAAAGTCAGCTGTGCTGATTTACACTGCCTGGAATCTCATACACAGGACTCTGAGGTAGGAGGATGGCTAACAAATTTAAGGCCAGTTTATGTTGAAACTCTGTCTCAATATAAATAAATAGATAGGGCTGGAGAGATGGCTCAGAGGTTAAGAGCGCTGACTGCTTTTCCAAAGGTCCTGAGCTCAATTCCCAGCAACCACGTGGTGGCTCACAGCCATTTATAATGAGATCTGCTGCCCTCTTCTGGTCTGCTGGTGTACATGCAGGCAGAACACTGTACGCGTAATAAATAATAAAGAAGAACTTAAATTTAATAAATAAATAAATAGACAAACAAATAAGTAAACAAGGGTAGGCATGGTGGGGCAAACCTTTTATCCCAGCATTTGGGAGGCAGAGACTGGTAGATCCCTGTGATCTAGAGCTCAGTGCCAGCCTGGTCTACACACAGAGTTCCAGAACAGCCAGGGTCACATAGAGAGACCCTGCCTCAAAAAGAAAAAACAAAATGAAAGGAGAGATATTAAGAACTTGACTGGGAGCTGGCAGTGATAGAGCATGAGTCCCCCAGGAGTTGGGAACCAGTGCGGGTACATGGATAGTCCCCCAGGAGTTAGGGACCAGTGTGGGTAACATGGATAGTCCCCCAGGAGTTAGGGACCAGTGTGGGTAACATGGTTAGTCCCCCAGGAGTTAGGGACCAGTGTGGGTACATGGATAGTCCCCCAGGAGTTGAGGACCAGTGCGGGTAACATGGATAGTCCCCCAGGAGGTAGGGACCAGTAACATGGGATAGTCCCATCCAAAGAACCTGAGTAGACACTGAGGGATTGGAGCCAAAATCCAGGACTGAGGAGTGACTCAGCTGATACAGCACTTGTGGAACATGCAGAAGCTTTGGGCTCCAGTCCCTAGCACTACAGTATACCAGCTGTGCTTACAAACACCTGAGGTGAGGCCTGCCTGGACTACATGAGACTCTGTCTCAAAAACACCAAAACAAAACAGGGCTGGCAAGAAGGCTGACTGAGTAAAAGTGCTCCTGGGCAAGCCTGGGACCCGCGTAGGTGGAAGGAGAAAGCTGACCGCACAGATCGGTCCTCTGGCTTTCACACGAAGGCCCCAACAAGGACAGCGAACTTTTTTTTTATGTTTTAAGACAAATAAGCCAGGAAAGATTGTATGAGGTGTATTGATTGAAAAATTGAGGGGTTGGGAGTGTGGAGCCATGCTAGAGCACTTTCCTGGCATGTATCAGGCTCTAGGTTCTATCCCTAGCACAAGAAATAAACAGCAAATGAATGTGTGTGGGGGGGTACCCTATAACATTTACTGGTTTCTATGTGTCTGTGAAAAAAAATTAATTTAAACTAAAAAGTAGTAGTGAGTTGGTGTTTGGTGGTTGAAGGCAATTTCCTTCAAGGCTGTCGAACTAAGTTCAGCCTCCCCGGGACCCACACAGTGGAGAGGGAGAGCCGATTCCTACAAGTTATCCTCTGATGTCCACACATGTGCACTAGTGCATGCACACGTACACACACACACACACACACACACACACACACACACTATAAAATGTAGTAAGAATACATTTAAAAACTAGTTAAAAGGAAGAATAGAAGAGAATGGAGGCTGGGCAGTGGTGGCTCACGCCTTTAATACCAGCACTCGGGAAGCAGAGGCAGGCAAATCTCTGTGGGTTCGAGGCCAGCCTGGGCTTACAAGAGCTAGTTCCAGAACATGCTCCAAAACTACAGAGAAACCCTGTCTTGGGCTGGAGAGATGGCTCAGAGGTTAAGAGAACTGGCTGCTGTTCCAGAGGTCCTGAGTTCAATTCCCAGCAACCATATGGTGGCTCACAACCATATGTAATAAGATCTGGTGCCCAGAATACTATATATATAATAAATAAATTTAAAAAAAAACCTTGTCTAGAAAAACCAGAGAAAGAGAGAGAGAGAGAGAGAGAGAGAGAGAGAGAGAATGAATGAATGGAGAATGGAGACTGGAAAGGGGGGGAGAGGAACGTAGAGAACACTAAGACTATTACCGAAACAGAAAGTGATAAGATAAAGTAAGGGTGCCTCTAAAGCCAGCAGTGACAGCTTTGATCAGAGAGGAGTCCAGAGTCCTCGCATTCTCCGTTTGTCCAGCTATGGGCCATTCCTTGTATCAAGAAGTTGTTTCCAGATCAGTGGTAGATTTCATATGGAGCAGTAGAGACCCTTGGTTTCAAGCTAGCAGCACACACACACACACACACACACACACACACACACACACTTTTTAAACTTTTTAAAAGGTCACAATGGAATCTTATCCCCATCCCTCATGTTTTATGAGACAGAATCTCAGTCTAGGCTGGTCTTTTACTCTCTGTAATAGTCCTGCTCAGCCTTCCGTGTACTAGGATTACAGGCGCCAACTGCCGTACTCACATTGTTCAGTGCTGCTAAAGGCATCTTAAACACTGCCTGTTGTAGCAGGCTGCTTGTTTATTTCCTGCTGTCCATACCCGAAATAATCACACAGAAACTATATTAATTAAATCACTGCTTGGCCTATTACCTTTAGCTTCTTATTGGCTAGCTCTTGCATTTTAATTTAACCCATTTCTATTAATCTGTGTATCACCATGTGACTGTGGTTTACCGGCAAGGTTCCTTCTAACGTCTGTCTCTGGTGGGGCTACATGACTTCTCCCTGACTCCACCTCCTTTCTCCCAGCATTCAATTTAGTTTTCCCCACCTAGCTCTGTTCTGCCCTGCCTGGAACTTGATATGTAGATCAGTGTGGCCTGGAACTTACAGAAATCTACTTGCCTCTACCTCCCAAGTGATGGAATTAAAGGCATGAGCCTCCACTGTCTGGCATGATGCCCATGTTTTAAAAATAATTTTAAAATTACTTTGTGTGTGTGTGTGCTGGGTAGATGACAACATATAAAAGTTGGTGCTCCCCTTCTGTGTGTGTGTGTGTGTGCCGGGTAGATGACAACGTATAAAAGATGGTGCTCCCCTTCTGTGTGTGTGTGTGCCGGGTAGATGACAACGTATAAAAGATGATGCTCCCCTTCCACACTTTCTAGGTCCTGGTTCTCAGACTCAGGTTGTCAGGCTCAGTGGCCGTCTTAGAGTTGCTGTGAAGAGACACCACGCAGCCACTCTTCTAAAGGAAAACATTTGGTTGGGTGGCTTACAGTTTCAGAGGTTAGCCTGTTATCATCATGGTGGGCAGCAAGGCAACATGCAGGCAGATACGATTCTGGAGAAGGAGCTGTGAGTTCTTTTTGTTTGTTTGTTTGTTTTTGTTTTTTCAAAACAGGGTTTCTCTGTGGCTTTGGAGCCTGTCCTGGAACTTGCTGTGTAGCCCAGGCTGGCCTCGAACTCACAGAGATCCACCTGCTTCTGCCTCCTGAGTGATGGGGTTAAAGGTGTGCGCCACCGCCACCTGGCTGAGCTGCAAGTTCGTACATCTTGACTCACAAGCAACAGGAAGTGGTCTGAGACACTGGGTGATATCTTGAGCATATGTGAGACCTCAAAGCCCACCTCCTCAGTGACACACTTCGTCCAACAAGGCCACACTTCCTAATAGTGCCATTTCCATTGGGGGCCATTTCCTTTCAAACCGTCGCAGTGTCCTTTATCCACTGAGCTGTCTGGCCAGAACTCCACTTCGTATTTGAGACACAGTCTCTGTACTTGGAGCTCGCTGGCTTGGCTAGACTCGCAGGCCAGGGGCTGACTCCGACTCCCAACACTGGTGTTACATAGACATCTCCTGCTGCCCAACTTTTATGCATGCACTTGTACGGCAGACCCTTTATCAACTGAGCTGTTTCTCCAGTCAGGGTCCCATGTGACCAGGAAGACCTTAAACTCCTCATCCTCACATCTCTGCTTCCTAACTACTGGGATGTCATGTGTGCACCACCACATCTGGTTTATGTGGTGCTGTCATGGAATGCCGGGCTTCTTAAGTGATTGGCTACCACTTTCAACACTTCCCCAAACACTAGTGTACATTTTAAATTGTGTCTCTGTTGTCCACCTGCCTGTGCTTCCCGCTCCAGCACCCCTGGCCCTCATCTTTTTACTGTCTTCATAGTTTTTTTCTCTTGGAATGTCATGTACTTGGATTCAAACAGCATGTAGTCACTTCAGATCATCCTTTTTCACTTGTTTATGTGAATTTAACTTTTCTTCGTGCTGCATCATGGTTTGACAGCTCACTTTTGTTGTCCCATACTGCAGACTGAACCCAGGGCTCTCGCAGGCTGAGCAAGCCTGCCACTGCTGAGGTACATCCCCAGTCTTTTTATGTTGTTGTTTTGAGACAGTTTCTCACTAAGTTCCCCAGACAGGCCTTGAACTCACTCTGTTGTCCTAACAGACCTTAGACTTGCAATTGTCCTGTCTTAGTCTTCTGTGCAACTGGGGTCACATTCCTGCACTAGACTCCTTTTTTAATGGTGCTCAAGTTGGAATCCAGTGCCTCTCACATGCTGGATAGGCACATTACCCGAGTTGTAGCTCCAGCTCTCACTTCCTTTAGTCTGTGTGTGTTTATCCTCTTACCTAGGAAGGAACAGGTTGCTTCCAGGTTGGGCCACTGTGTGACTGCTCGGGGTTAAATAATCCCTAGAGACTGGTAGGACTCCATTCTCATCAGCTGTAGAAGGGGAGAGCCTTGCTTTATGCTGGGGTCAAGGTGGTGGAGTCCTCACTTTTATAGGACTCAAAACTTATCAGAGTATCCTCCAAGGACCAATGGGTGAGTGTATGTACAGTATACAGAGGTGCCAGATGTGTTACTGCTTCTAGGTTTGTGCCAGCCGCCCCCCCCCCGGGGGGGGTAGAAGCCTGTCTCTACCTTCTCACCCACTGCAGGGCTGCCTCCCCCCCCTTGCAGGTCTCTTTCCGATACCATTGCCAGCTGTACTCAGAATGGAGGAAGACCAATCAGAAAGTCCGACTGAAGATTCGGGAAGCAGATGGCTCCGAGGACCCCCACCACTCCTTGCTGGCTACTGGACTCTTAAAAAAGGTGGCAGAGGAGACCCCTGTGTGAAGCCCAGACTGGCAGAGCCCTGAGGTAGTGGAGAAACCAGAGGCAGATGACAATGCCTTGCTTTGGAAGGATGGAAGCTGCCTGACCTTTCATGCACAGCCACGATGCTTCTCAGGCAAAGAGCCACAGCAATCCCTGCTCTGTGCTCCTGGGTGAACGTATTTTCAAGGGTTTTATTTTACACATTATTGTACATGACAGGGACAGATGGACAGACCTGAGCTTTGGCTGCTTGTGTTAAGGGAGCCCGTTGGGCTGGAAGGTTCCAGCAAGCTTCTTGCGCTACTGTGCACTGGCCAGCCTGCTTCACTGGCGCTCGTGACTTTATATAAAGTTGCACTGCATTTCAAACCCACCCCTGAGTGAATAAAAGGAGGCCTTGCTGGCTAACGTGGACTCCTCAGTTACATTTCTAAACTGCTCCAAGTGAGTGATTCTACGAGGGCAAAGAGGCGCAAACACTGGGCTTGTTCTGAGGGCTCTGTGATGAGGCTGCCTTGGTGTCTTTCCTTTTCTTTCTTTTTTCTTTCCTTTTCTTTTGTTTTTTTTTTTGGTTTTGTTTTGTTTTTGTTTTTTGTTTTTTTTTTTTGGTTTTGTTTTGTTTTTTTGAGACAGGATTTCTCAGTGTAGCTTTGGAACCTGCTCTCCCTCTGTAGACCAGGCTGGCCTCCGGCTTGGAGATCCGCCTGCCTCTCTCTGCCTTCCGAGTGCTGGGGTTAAAGGTGTGTGCCACCACTGCCCGGCTTCCTTTCTTTTCTTATTTCTATGATAAACTACTCAGATAAAAGCAACTAAAATGGGGGTGCAGAGATGGCTCAGTGGTTAGGAACACTGGCCACTCTTGTAAAGGTCTGTGTTCAATTCCCAGCACTCATATGGCAGCTTGCAGTTATCCCTAATGCCAGTTTCAGGGGTCTAGTGCCGTCTTTTGTCTTCCACAGACACTGCCCACATGTGGTGCACATACAGACATGCAGGAAAAATACCCATACACATAAAATTTTTAGAAAGTCAGCTTAAGAGAGAAAGCATTAATTTAGCTCACAGCTCCAGGTACAGCCCGTCATGGAGGGGAAGTCAAGGCACAGTTGAGTCTTTCTGCATCAATCAGTGCAATCAAGATGATTCCCGGGGCCAGGCGGTGGTGGCGCACGCTTTTAACCCCAGCACTTGGGAGGCAGAGGCCAGCCTGGTCTACAAGAGCTAGTTTCAGGCCAGGTTCCAAAGCTATAGAGAAACCCTGTCTCGAGAAACCACAAAAAAAAAAAAAAAAAAAAAAAGTGTGCTTCCCCACAGTCATGTCCAGGGGCTCGTCTCACCAGGGACTCCTGGTTCTCTCAAGCTGACACGGAAGCCTAAGGATGAGGTGAAAGCCGAGTTTTAAATAAAGAACAGGATGCAGGGCCTGGGGAGACAACTCAGTGGTTAAAGGGCTTGCTACATGAACATGAAGAAGACCAGACTTCCTGAATATATAGATTTGGGGCTTGTTTACGTGTGTGTCCCTGGTGATGCTAGCCCAGCACCCAGGAGGTCCGAGAGCAAGCTAGCTAGCTAAAGTAGCCAGATGGACAAAGCTCTGAGCTCAGTGGATAAGGTGGAGAAGATGAGTGAAGACACCAGCGTTACCATGTGCACACAGGGGAAAAACAGAGCAGGAGAAGGGGGAGGTCGGAGGAAACCTCCTTAGGAGAGCAGGGTCTCTCCTTCCGCCTCCACATGGCCCCAGTGAGTAAACAGGTCTTCAGTTTTGCACAAGTGCGCTCACCCGTTCAGCCTCCACACTGGGCTGGGCAGGATTTATGATGAATGATCTTTTAAAAATTTTATTCTTTATGTGTATGAGTGTTTTGTTTTCCCCATATATGTGACTGTACCATGTTCATGCAGTGCCCAAGGAAGCCAGAAGAGGGCAAGATACTCCTAGGAACTGGATGGAGTTCCAGGTGGTTGTGAGCTGGCATTACTAAAGGCATATAACACCATGCTTGGCAATATGTTTGTGTATACACACACATACATATATGTGTGCACGTATATATATGTACACACATATGTATGTATATATGTATTCATATATGTTTGTATATATATAATTTTATTTTATTGAGACATGGTCTTACTATGCAGTGAGATCTTACTGGCAATATATATTTGTATGTATATACACACACACACACACATATATATAAAATAATTATACTATTTATGTGTGTGTGTGTATTTTTTAATGGTACTGAGGATTGAAGTCAGAGCTTCACATAGTCTAGGCAAAAATCTCTATGGAATGATGCCCTCAGCAACAAATTACTTTAAGAATAAACAAAGTGGGAGAAGTGTGTGTTTGACAATTGGCTCAGTGGTTAAGAGCACTGGCTGCTCTTCTCAGCACTCATGTGATGGCTCACAACCAACTGTGACTCCAGTTTTGGAGGATTCAATATCCTCTTCTGTTCTCCACCGACACCAAGCGTACGAATGGTACCCAGAGACCCAGGTAGGCAAACACCCATACACACAGATCACAAAGGGCCTTTTGTGGTGGCTCATATCCTTAATCCCAGCACACAGAGGCAAAGGTAGGCAGATCTCCGTGAATTCGAGGGCAGTCTGAAATACTTAGTTCCAGGCTGGCCAGGGCTGTATAGTGAGACCATGTCTCAAGAAAATGGAATAAGCCATGTGTGGTGGCACATGCTTTTAGTATCTTTAGCACTCAGAAGACAGGGGCAGTAAGATCTCTGAGTTCAAGACTAGAATGGTCTACATAAGGAGTTCCAGAACAGCCTAAATAGAGAGAGCCTATTAAAAATCAAAATAAAATAATAACAAAAAAACCCACAAACCCTCAAAACTAAGCAAATTAACAACAATAACAGCAAAAACCAACATAAGAGTATACAGTGTAGCCCAATGTCACAAAACATGCTTAGCATGTAGGAGGACCTTGTTCCATTCCCAAAGGAAAAAGGTAAGGACAATTTCTGCTTACTTTGTATTCCCAATGAGCTCTATGTACTGAGGTCCTTTATACTCACTGATAACTAATGGTAATACTATCCACACTTACTGGGATTACCATGGATGAGACGCAATTCTAAACCTGGTTCACATCTCTTCTCTGGGGAAGGAACAGTTATCACTTCCATTTTAAAGGCGGGAAGACCGAGGCCCAATGTATAAAACTTTATCTGAAGTCCTACAGCTTTAGGAGCTGGGGATTCCAGGTTTGTACCCAACCCCCAAGCAGAAAGACGTAGAATGGGACCATAGTGGTAACAGCCTCTGTTGCTCCTTGTTCTCCTTCCTTTGTTTAGTTGGCCTCACCTCAATATGTAGCCCCTGTTGGCTGGCCTCAAATTTGTGGTAATGCTCTTGTCTCAGCCTCTCGAATACTGAGATTACAGGTATGGACCACCATGCTTGAGTAGCTCACCTTTGAGCTCTTGTTGCATACTGAGTTACTTATCAGTTAAGTGCACTTGGCATCTCCCTGCATTTAATGCCCAGGGCTGCTCTGAAAGGTGCTTTCTGGAGAGTCTTTTGTTTTTGTTTTCAAGACAGGGTTTCTCTGTAGCTTTGAAGTCTGTCCTGGGACTAACTCTTGTAGACCAGGTTGGTCTTGAATTCACAAAGATCCGCCTGCCTCTGCCTCCCGAGTGCTGGGATTAAAGACCACCACCACTCATCTTGGAGTGTCTTTTATTAACCCTGCTTTCAGATAAGCAAATGAACCTCAGATTATTATGCTCATCAGCATTCCCAATGAGTCCACTAGAGTATGGTCCTTCCTATTTTTTTTCTGCACTCATCCCTTGCCCAATACATAAGCTCATTCACAGGGCGGCACATAAAAACAGTATCTTGCCAGTTGGTGGTGCACACCTTTAATCCCAGCACTCGGGAGGCAGAGGCAGTTGGATCTCTGTAAATTCAAGGCCAACCTGATCTACAAGAGCTAGTTCCAGGACAGGCTCCATAGCTACAGATGAAACCCTGTCTCGAGAAAACCAAACCAAAGCAAAACAAAACAAAAAAAAAAAACAGAAAACTATCTTATTGCCCTGACTGGAAAGGCAAGGGAAAGCCAGTTTTGCAGAAGGCTGAGACTCAGAGGCTGGGATCTGATTGGCCTGTAGTAGTAAGAGCAGGCTGGGAGACTTCATGGCTGGAACAGTACAGTTGAGGAGCAGAGCGAAGATGATCAGGTGATCTTATAGAAATTTATAAGGCACATTTGCTCTCCTGGCCTGCCAAACTTGGCACCGACTTCTCCTTATGCTAACTTTACACCTCTGGAGATGGTGTAAGGGTGCCTCAGGAGGTGCCATCAAGGAGACAGAAAGAAGTAAGGAGAGAGAAACAGCGAGGGAGAGAAGTAGGAAGAGGGAAAGAGGGGGCAGGGGAAAGACTGGGAGGAAGGTTCTGTGTACATCTCTCCTAACACTTTGAATTGCATGGAAAATTTTAGTTTGATGTTAGCCTATCAAGAATTCTGCATACAGGACCGACGCTGTGGCTACCAAACTTGATAACTTGCATTTGATTCTCAGAACCCATTTGGTGGAAAGAGAAAACAACTCCAGCTTGCAGGCCGTGGAATGCTCAAAACCTGGCTTCAGTCACACACACACACACACACACACACACACACACACACACACTAATAAAAAGTATTCCTGTCGACAGAATTTTTGTTTTCTTTCTGCTCTAGTTCCATTTAAAGAAAGCTGGTGTCTCCTTGACATGCCATGGCTGTTGTCACCCATGAAATCATAGAGTCACCCCTCCCCGAGGACCTATTGGTGGTAGTTGCTGGAGGAAGGGGGTGTCATTTTCTTCAGTAGTGTAGCCACTGTTTAGTTGCCCATGCTCAGGTAAATAAACCCAGCATCTACGCTCATGTAAGCGATCCTAACTCAGTAGGTCACAAACAACGACATGGAAGTGGGGAACTTGTTGGAAAGAAGGTTCAGTGGGAGGTAAATATGATAAAAAAAATATACAGTATAGTGTCAGGGATTGGAGCTGATAGAGTGCTTGCCTAGCATGTTAAAGTCCCTGGGTTCCATTCCTAGCACTGAACGAACGGAACATGGTTCCTCTAGTCTCTCATTCCAGCACTCAGGACGTGGAGGTGGGTAGTCAGATATTCAAGGCCAGATTCTGCTACACAGAGTTCCAGGCCAACACTGACTAGAAACCCTGTCTCAAAAAAAAAAAAAAAAAAAAATTCCCTGCGGGGCATTGGTGGCACAGGTCTTTAATTCTAGCACTTGGGAGGCAGAGATCTCTGAGTTCCGAGGCCAGCTTGGTGTACAGAGTGAATTCCAGGGCAGCCAGGATTACACAGAGAAACCTCGCCTCGAAGGCCCGTCCCCACAAAGTCA